TCAGTTGTCAATAATCTAAAATTTTAAAAAACATATATATGCAAATAATCTCAATTTATTAAGAGTTTGTCAAAAACAAATCCACGTCATAGGAAGTTAACGCAGTGACGGTTCATTATTTCGAATCGATCTTATGATTGTCCTTGTTATTAGTACTTCTATTCATATTTTTTATATCTTTCTTTGGTTCTACCGAGGCTATATCCCTCTGTTTAGTCTTATCCTTTTTATCCCCCCACCAAAAATGTCATGAAATGTGCCCTAAATACTTGCAAGTGATTTTACTTTTAACGAGTGTCCTCAAATTTCAAATAATATAATGAGTAAAAATATTGAAAAGTATGAGCAGTTGAACTTAGATGTTTAGGAAAGTGATATATTTAATAGAGTTACTAAACCATTTAAATTACATTACTACTAGAACTAAACTTCTTGAATAAACTTATAAATCCAGAAGATCCGAGAAGAGACCAAGGCTACAACAAAGATTGCCTACACGTTTTCTAGACATGACGAAATGGTCATCATTATCAGTTCAAAAGATCATGATAGCACAGTTTGTGATGTAGAAAATGCTCTTCCCAAATTGTGACATTAACCTTCCCATGAAGCACTTAAAGGCGGTGTTCGACTCGTGCCAAGCAAGTGTAGTAAGGTTTTTTTATTATTGGTTCCCAAGTTGGTGGTTTGATTGGTGTGCCGAGTCAAAATATTGAGAATTTCAAATTCTGGTGCTATGGTTATTTTTCTTGCCCAAAATCAGTTGCCACTGTGCATCTTCCCAGGACTCTGATCATCATCTGGTGCAAGTTTGTGGTGATATTCTTGTTGTCCTCAGAGCAGTAGTGAAGATTGGCCGTCAATTGAGGGATAACCCACGCAAACAAGGAATCTCCAACACCCCAACCTATAATCTTTGCTTCAATTGTCCTCTTCAACTGATTGTATTGCTTGATAGCTATAAATGTTAACATGAAAAACATTATAAGTAATCAAATTTACTCAATATATATATTTTCTAACAAAAAACTCATTGGGCACTTTCTCAATCGCGCAAGGCGTGTATAAGAAACTAGTTTTCTTATAAGGATCAATTTTGTAAAACGTGTAAGAGTATGCATTGCTAGTGTTAATACTTTTTTGGGAATTAGTTGACTCAAAACTATGTTTAATTGGCAAATTGAGAAGTATCATGGAATATGGACGATATTGTGATTACACACATTAATTCATTGTATTATCAACAATATTGTGATGTATTTTTTTCAAAAATATTATTAAAATAAAACTTATTCACAAAAATATGACAAATAGTTACTACAATGTAGTGTCATGATAACTTAAGTTTAAAAAATGAATATTAAATTACTATGTTTTCATTACTATTCTAGTTGCTGGTCATATCAGAAAGACAAAAACAACCTTTGTTCTAGTTATAAATATATAATTATATCTATTGTGATTACTTATATATGCATGTTTATTGATTCATTGTTTTGGCATTTGATGTGTGCTCTGTGGTAGTTCATGTGTTCATCCTTGATTTCCAAGTTAGCATAGAACTCTAACACAAGGTGCGACCATAATTTTTTATTAGGTGACCATGATAATACACCTCTAAGGCTCTAAACGTTGAAATATTTGAAAATTTGGAAATAATTTTAAACTCTGGGTTCAAAATTTCATACAAGAGTGGTATTTTCTCAATCACACTATATTCAAAAAATGCATGATAAGTTCAAGAAGTATAATATCAAATCCACGAGAGCTCCTTTTGAAACAAGTATTCACCTGAGCACAAATAGAGGTGAAAGTGTATCACCGGATGACTATACTCGGGTCATAGGCAGCATAGTATATGTCATGAATGGCATGCGTCCCGATATAACTCAAGCTGTGAATAAGTTAAGTTGCTCTTCACAGAACCCTGGTAAAGAACACTATAAAGCACTTAAGGATACTTGGATATTTGATGTACGCCAAAGACTTTGAATTACATTTTCGGAAACATCCAGCCGTACTAGAAGGGTATGCCGATGCAATTTGGATAACCGATTCCAATGATATTAGATCGACTAGTGGATATGTGTTTACCATTGGAAGTAGTGCTACTTCGTGGAAATCTTCCATACAAACTTGTATAGCAAGATATACCATGGAAGCTAAATTCGTTGCCTTAGATAAGGCTGGAGAAAAAGCTAATGAATGGTTGAAAGAGTTTTTGTAAGAGCTTCCTTGTTCGGAAAACCTGTCCCTCCGATATCTATTCTATGTGATGGTTAAGCTGCAATTGAAAGGACAAAGAATGCGGTTTATAACGGCAAGTCTAGACATATCCGTCATGGACACAACATCGTTAGAAAAGTAATAAAAAATGGGACCATCTCTCTTGACTATGTGAAATCGAAAAAAATATTGTGGATCCGCTAACCAAGGCACTTCCGAGAGTGATGATTGAGACGTCAAGGAGAGTGATGGGCCTCGACCAATGATTCAATAAAGTCCATGGGGAAACCCTACCTATTATTAAAAGTGTCTCATAATTAGATTCAAAGAGAAAACACAACTGTGGACCGACTCGAGCGGTACTAACCAATATATAGTACACTCATCACTAATGTCATGAGCATACATGGTAAATTACGCTTTTAATGATCTCTATATTTTGATATGTTCAAGTAAGAGGCCGTTTGGTAACACTGTTTATTGACTTATCAGGCTTATCAGCCGACTTTTACACCAAACACGTAATTTTTGCTTTCGCGCGTTGAATTGTGTAATAAGCCGAAAAAGTAAGGTTGAACTTACTTTTCTGGCTGTATTGGTTGAAGTTACTGTAGATGACCATTTTAGCTATTTTTACATATAATTTTTTTTTTATTAATAAAATATATTTGAGATAAGGGTCAGATAAGGTCTCGAACTTGAAAAAAAATGTCAAATAAGGCCATATTTAGGATGCTCTGTCCGTCCGACGCCATTTGGGGTGGTTCCCGGTAGAATTTTTTGATGAAATTTTTTGAGAATCTTATTCATTAAGTCTAGTTTACTCATATTAAATTTGAACTAAAACTTTAATCGGGAAGGCATTCAAATGAATTCTTGAAGATAACTGTATCGTTAAAAACGCAGTTATCTTCATGAATTCATTTGAATGCCTTTTCGATTGAATTGTTAGTTCAAATTTGATATGAGTAAACTAGACTTAATGAATAGGATTCTCAAAAAATTTCATCAAAAAATTCCACCGGGAACCACCCCAAATGGCGTCGACCAGACAGAGCATCCTAAATATGGCCTTATTTGACATTTTTTTTCAAGTTCGAGGCCCTATCTGACCCTTATCCCAATATATTTTAAAAATATTTTTTTCTTAAAATAGCAGAATCAGCCAATGCAACCACTCCAGCCAAAACTTCATAAATTTCAACAGAATCAACCAAATCAACCGATTTTCGAGCTACCAAATGGGCTCTAAGTATGACATGATACCACCATCAATAGAGATGAACTATGCTGGTGGAAAAAATATACTTCCTTCGTCCCGTAAACAACTTCTCACTTTCCTTTTTGGGCAGTCCCGAAATTAACTTCACACTTTAAAACTTTCCTTATTTGGCAAATTATCTACATCAAAACAGTGCCAAACAGTGTCCAAACAGTGTCAAACAATGTTTAAACAGTGCAAAACAGTGCACTCCACAATAAAGTCAAACTTATTTTCTTAATTTGTGTGAAGTCAAATTTATAAAAATATTCATTCATCATCATAACACAAAAACACTGTGAATGAATAAAGAGAGATTTACCAAAATAGGAGTAAAAGATGAAGTAAATGCAAAAATAGGACCTATTGTTTTAAATTCCCTAAATAGGACTAAATAATTGTGTTTGGACAAAAATAGCCTTCAGTGTTGAACTGCTGTAACATTTGCGCGTAACTTGCGCATCCCAGCCATCCTCCTGTCTTCAGGTCTATGCGGCAATTCAACCATCCTCCAGTGCCGCACCAGTGTGTCCTTCAGCAAGTCTGCTGCCTCCGCCGCCTTAGAGAGTTCGCCGCCACCATCCTTCGACGAATGAAGCCGCCGCTCTTCGGCAAGTCCCTACAATTTCCATCGAGAATGCCACTTGATATGACACAAAAGTGACATTTTTGTCAAACTGGCAAAAACATGACATTTTTTATATCGCCATCTTCAAAACATAGTGACACAAAAGTGACATTTATTTCAAATAACCAATAACTATGACATTTTGTGATTCAAAAGTGACATTTTTGTCAAACTGGCAAAAACATGACATTTTTGAAATTTCAAAGCAATACTGTCATCTTTATAGATGTAATGCATTAAAAGTGGCATTTTTCGTATTAAGTACTTGTAATTATGTCATTCTCAATTCATAATTAATCAAATTTGGTAAATAAATAAATAAATAAAATTGAGACCTACAATCGATGGAGCGTTGGAACCTAATTTTTCATCTAATTGTTAACAAAATCTCTTCCAAAATCTCAAAATCAAAATAATTTGTGTAAAAATTTAAAAGTAAGAAACTGTTAAAGTGAAAAAAATAGGAACTAGAGGACCTGAGTCGTACAAGAGAGAAGAGAAGAGTGGAAGAGAAGGAGAAGAGAAGAGAAGGAGAAAAGAAGAAAAGACGAAGAGAAGGAGAAGAGAAATGAGATCGAGAAAATTACCTGGCTTGATCGGAGTCGGCGATGGGTCTGCGCATCTTGGTTTCTTCATCACAGATGGGTCTGCGCATATGGGTGTTGGAGTCGGCGAAGTATTCCAGGGTTTAATTAAAGGAAGGGCAAAAATGTAATCAGTGATCCTATTTAGGAAATAATAAACTTCAAGTCCTATTTTAGAATTTTAACCATGTTTTAGTCCTAATTAGGACAATTTCTTATGAATAAACAGTGCTGTTACTTCCTCCACACAATCTTTCGGTAAACTAGTTTAAGAAGCAACAGCTATAGCTATAAGTGATTCCTATTTCCTACTACTCATTACTCAAAATTTAAGCTCAAGGAGTCCAACCAAATGTCTGTCACTTTCTCCATAAAACTTTTCAAGTAGAAAGAAATTTGAATGCGCCGAACACTGTAATTATTTCCAGAACCAAAACTAATTAAACTAAATAGCTGCTGCTTAGGCCGGAGAACAAAGGCCACCGCCCGAGGAAGCAGAGCAGAAGGCGGGGAGCACACGGCAGTCGTCTCTGGATCGGACGGAGGTAATAGTATAAGAATATTATTTCATAAATAAATAAATAAAAGAGAATCCATCCATCCGTCTTTCTGTTCTCTGAAACATGAGCTTCTCACGATCGTGTTGTTCTTACTGGCCATCCTTCCCCGCTTCGTAATAACTGCCTGTGGGCTACACTTTCAAAAACCTGGCCTTGCCGGCCACACATTATGTTTTCTGTTGTTGTTTGCCAAAAATGGGTATATTTCTTCAACACGAGAAATGTGTGCTGGGTTGCACTTTCCCCGCCCAGCGTGCGCACCATCAACCATTGTCGTCGCGCCATTTCTCCCTCACTCCTTTTTTTTCCCGCTATTTATCACCCAAAAGTGGGCCATTCGTTTTTGGAGCTCAACTTTTTCTCTTTCATCTCTTACAGAGGGGAAGAGGAGGGGGAGGCTTTATTGGTTACACGGTCTCTGCAGTGCGGACTCTGTACAAATAAAAACTACTGGTAAAAACAAACCATGAACCTCTCTCTATACGGACGGGGTAGTTTAAATGATTATTATTCAAAACCATCACTATGACAACTAATCTAAGGGTGTTTGGATGAGTTTTTTTTATTTTAATCGAGCTTTGCCATCCGAATCATGTTCTTTTAGGTTCAGATGTTAATCTAAATTGTTCCAATTTTTTACTTTCACTATGCAATTTGTACAAAATGTTCAAAAGGGCAAAAATGGGGTTGGAGGTTTTTTTTTTGGCTCTTGATTTTGCAAAATGCTCAAATCAAGAGGCTGCAACTTGTAGGTTCCTGATTTTAGTATTTTTGGAGCATTTTCAGCTACATCAAAACAAGCTGCGGAACACTTGACTTCCGAGCATTTTTCTCTTAGCCAAACACCACACAAGTCTTCACCCTTTCATTTCATGCAACATCAGTGCAGGGCTCAACTGATCATTTTGGTCATTCAAGCATTATATATGCTATTGTTCAGTAAACTTATGGTTTACATTGTTTTGTTCGTTCATTCAAGTCTCTAACCCAGATTTTGATCTCATGACCACTGTAGAAATACTCCCTCCGTTCCTAAAAATACTTCCCACTTTCCTTTTTGGGCCGTTCCCAAAAATTCTTCCCACTTTCCCTTTTTGGACAATTTGTGTGGCTCACATTCATTTTACCTTTTTCTCACACAACCACAACCACACATTTTCACTTTATTTCACTTTCTTAATAGGCGTGCCAAGTCAAACCGGGAAGAATTTTTAGGAACAGAGGTAGTATTATATTTGTAAATGATCCAAGAAAACATGCTCGTTATCATGTCACTGTTCTGTAGCAAGCCATGGTAAAACGGAGAATCGAACCAATTCTGTCTACTTGAATGATCACTTTGGACATTATATTCTTTCAGGAAGGGGGGAGAAATGGAACCTGCAGGAGATGAAGAAGAGTATGCAGTGTTCCTAGAAAAGGTGAAGCGGACGGTTTTCATAGATAACCTCTCACCAATGGCCACTGAGGCTGTCCTAAGAGCCGCCTTCAACCAATTTGGATCTGTCACTAATGTGTGTTTACTCCCTAACTACCTCGAGCCCCCCAATGCAGCTCAATCAGCTCTGGTGGAGATGCAAACCGCCGATCAGGCCGAATCAATCATATGTGAGGTCAGCTGTTCACCGTTCATGATCTCGGGTATGCCAAGGCCCGTGAGGGCCCATGCCGCCGAAGTTGATATGTTTGATGATTGCCCTCGCAAACCTGGTACTAAAGTACAATTCCATTGGGTGGACCGTGGTAACCAAAACTATGGGATAGCCATGAGGATGAGTTCTCTTGCTAGAGAACATGCTGCCCAAGCTCAAATTCTGATGGAGGTATTTCCCACACGCTCCAGGTTTATGTTTGGAACCTGGAAAGCCATAAACATGTTAAGGGTCCATTTGGAACCTAAGAAAATGCTTGGGAATGAAAACCAAAAATACGGAAGATATTTGCAAGGAAAACATAGTTCAAGTTCAATAAATAAATTTATACTACCTCCGTCCCGATGGACTTTGCCAAAGTAGGTGAGAATAAGAATAGTAAAAATTGTGTGGTTGAGTTTTGAGCAGAGGAGGAAGAAATGAGGAGAACCACAAATTAGTTGCTTTAATAGGAAAGTGACAAAGTTTTTTTGGGACAACCAAAAAGGGAAAGTTGGGAAAGTCCAATGGGACGGAGGGAGTATATTTTTAACACATTTCTATTATTACATGAAGACTAAGAAATTTAAATATATGTGAACTTTTAATAAGATTCGATCAAATTTGAGTTTCATTCTGTCTAGCTTTTTCCTAATTTAAATATATGTGAACTGTGTGTATACATGTGTCTGTAGGAGCTGCTTGCAGTTCAAATGGTGTTTCCCGTGCAAAATGTGCACGATACATTTTTACTCGTTTACCTGTTCATGATGCATTTCAGTTCTTTGTGCGGTGGGATAAAAATTTGGTTTATTTCCCAATTATGTCACTGTTTTTTATCCAAGTTGATGCATTGTTGGAAGTTGGAACATTTAGAACCTTTAGATATTAAATTGGATGTTCCAGATTAGTATGCATTTTGGGATGACTTTTGTTTGATCCAAAACATATGTACATGTATGTATCTATATAGTTCTTACTTTTTGGGAATATATACATAAGTCGTGAGTGACAAACAACTGGATTTGACTTGGGTACTATATTCTATTACTTCGTATGATGTTTCATTCTAAAAAGTTAATATAAGGACTACCCAACGATCTTTTATATAAGTTTTTAGTTTATAAGGTTTAAACATCTATTTTCCTTCTTGTGCCTTTATGAGGTACTAAACAGATCACAGAGAAACCTTTCTTACACTTCTGTTTCATTAAAAAATGGTTATCCTGTGACTTTGTATCTTGCATTTCTGTTTCTGAGCAACATATATCTCCATTTTCCATTTCTATTGGTGATACTAATGCGTTAATTTTGTTAACTTTGCTGTCCTACATAGCATCAACTGGAAGAGGAAGAAAAACTCGCGAAGAAGCAGCAAATGACCTTGCAGGCAAATTACAAAAAGTATAAGCTGTTAATGGGTGTTGCTGGAAATGGGCAAAACGGAAATGCTAATCAGTTGGCTGCACGATATGGTCTACTCATTGGAAATTCCAATAAGTCCCATTGAGTGTATGATTTTCTTCTAATTCATTTGGGCAGCTGATTTACTTAGGAAGCCAAGTAAAAATGGATGCACCTTATCTGTGAGGATTGAAGTAAAGCTTTTAGCAATTTAACATTAGGTAGTACTTAGATGGCACGAAGGGTACTTTGTAAATGTCTTTAGGCTTTTGTGCAGTAGATATTTTGCTGCCCTGATTTGTACTCATCGGGCATTTGAAGTCCTAAAAGTTAGGATTTGGGTATATGTTCACTCGTTAAATCATCTATGTTATGGAAGTAATGGAACCAATAAATGTTCACCTACTGCAATGGTGGCATTTGAAATCTCATGTGTTATTTTGCCTATAATACACACACTACCGCACAATTGCAACTATAACTTTCTTGTCCTATAAGTTAGACTTCCTTTGTTATTCTGACAATACTCAAATGCTCTATTTCGATCATATCCTTAAATCAATAAAACCATCACTTCCAGCCTAGCTGGTTGTGAGGTTATCCTTACATAGGAGAGGTCTCGTGTTCGAGTCCCACTAGCACCAGTGGAACTATGCTCCCCAAAAAACCCTTCAAGTGGTAGGGCCAAACGGTGTATACAACCCGTAGGGCCAAGTCAAAGTTGGGTTTCTGGGGTAAGGGCCCGTGAAAGCGGTGGAGCTAGTCACTCTAAAAGGTTTACCCATACCTTAGTTTAAAACCATCACTTCTAGCCTAGCTGGTTGTGAGGTTCTCCTTGCATAGGAGAGGTCTCGTGTTCGAGTCCCACTAGCACCAGTGGAACTATGATCCCCCAAAAAACCCTTCAAGTGGTAGGGCCAAGCGGTGTATACTAACCCGTAGGGCCAAGCCAAATTTGGGTTTATGGGGTAAGGGACCGTGAAAGCGGTGGAGCTAGTCACTATAAAAAGTTTACTCATACCTTAGTTTTAAACCATCACTTCCAGCCTAGCTGGTTGTGAGGTTACCCTGCATAGGAGAGGTCTCGTGTTCGATTCCGACTAGCACCAGTGGAATTATGGTCCAATTTACATCCTCCCATCGTGCCGTCCGGTCGGTGTTGGGGGGCCCTCAGTGTCATCCTTTTTTTTTTCTTAAATCAATAATTGCATTGAGAAGTCCTTCATTGATCGAGCCGAACAAACTTTGTATTTTTCGGTGCTTTTCCTCTGTTGTTCTTCATGTGATCCCCGAACTGAAATACACGGAAGCCAAAACTCAAAAGTGACGCATTTAAAATATTGGTACTTCCCCATGCTTCATCTTTCAAATTTGTGGACTGAGCTAGTGAGCTTGATAGGCACAATCAGAAAAGAGGCTGAGGCGGGAGTGTAAGAAAAATGTCCCCTCTAATCTTTGTTGAGCATCATCCAATCAAACCATGTCAACACACGAGCACAGAGTATTGATTGGCACAATAGAAATGGAGGCCATTATTCATTTGTAATAATCAAACAATGTCGACACATGAATGTTACTTCTTGTGCATGTGTGCATGTTAATGGTGCACATTAGTTCATCAATGAGCAATCAAATTTATGTTTTAAATAATGCACATTCAGAAAAAACATATTTTTAAATTTATTGACAAAAATAGTACTCATTCTTTTATTTTGTGTTTGGTTGACATTCTTGAACTCTTCATACAAGCACTCCCTCACACCTACACGTGCACATGATTGCATACACATTCACACAAACACATTTTGATTCAAATAAAAAAGAGAAAATTATTGTAGATATGACTACATACGCTCATCTTTCCATATATAAGACCTTATTAGGTTTCTTCTCAAAAACACGTATCTAATAATATTTAAAGAATATATTTAATTAATAAATAAATATTTTTTTTTATGTGTAGTAATGTGCCCAAAACTTAAGGTAGCGCTAGTCTTCTGCCTCGAATTCATCGTTCCATCTCTTTGTCGCCTCTCTCATTCGTCTCCTCGCTCCCTCACCTTTCTCATTGCCCGTTGATGATAGAAGGTGCTTTCATGAAAGACAGACGACCATAGCCGTTCTTCCCCCAAACTCTTTATAACAGTTGCTTTACTTACCATTAGTTAAGTAGCTAGTTAGTTGGGGAAGTTCGTTGTAAACGGTTGTAATTGTTTAGCCAACAGTTGAAGTTAGCTAATTACGCCGTGTATAAATAAGGAAGATGACAATGAATAAAAACCATTCACAATTGTTGCTAATTGTTCTTAAGGAGTGTTTGCAACTGGTTCTGCTTAAAAAAACACTTTTGGAGATGTAAGGAAAAACTGATTAGTAGTAAAAGTTGATAGTGTTTGAGAAAAAAGTGATTTTGAAAAGTAAAAGTTGGTAGTGTTTGGTAAAATAAGTGCTTTTTGTGTAATAGAAAAGGGAAAAACACTTTTCACACGCAAGCGGAGAAAAATTAAAAATTGGTAGCATTTGGTAAATAAGTGCTTTTTTAAGCCAAAAGCTGAGAAGTGCTTTTTTTAACTTGTTGCAAACACTCCCTTAAACTCTTGTACTCTCTCATAACAATTGAGCTAGGCTCTTGTTTATTTGTTCATCACCATTAGTAGTCAAGTTCAACTCCTATTACATTGGTATCAGAGCTTTGAGATCTTGGTATCCTTCTTCTTCCGCTTGAAGATCTTCTGTGCAACACTCTAGCGCCTCGTTCACGTACCAAATTCGCCATTGAAGTCATGGAAGAGCAATTGCAAGCTCTCACCCAATCACAATTGCAATTTCAACAAGAAATCCAACAATTCCAACAATTATTTGGGGTAAAAAATTTCACGCCCAGACCGCATCTAGGCGAGTGTACAACCGCAGCACAATCAAGTGACGTCACCCGCATGTCACTCTCACTCGATTGTACAAAGCGTCCATGAACATAGTTCATATCATACTCTGTCACGCCCCGGACCTACCGGACACGTCAACAACCCGCCGTACAGTACGAATAGTCAACCGCAGTCCAACTCATCCATACTATACTAGGCGTCTTGAATATCATTCACAATAGTACATCCATAAACAAACATAATGTAAAATAATCATTTAAATCAGCGGAAACGTTTAATACAAGTGTTTATGCCACACTCCGGCAAACATGGGCATACAAGCCCCAATAATCATTCAAAATATCCATGAGCATTAATTTAATGTTTAAAAAAAATAGAACGGAGGAAGCACGAACCACGTCTTCCCTCCTGAATCTCCCCGAAGCAACGGGCACTGGTAGCAAGCTTTACTCCCTACCTGAAACTGTGAGGTGGCCTCCCCCGTGAAGGGGAGGTCAGTACTTGGAAGCATTTGACAAGTACAATGACAACTATACTAAGTATAATCAACGTTTTAATTTCTAAGACCCTCAAAATAGGGTGATATCATAATATAAATAATAATTTATATTTCCCACTTATTATCTCTATAATAAGTAAATTTATTTATTTGTCGGCACACGGCCCATTTCATATATTTCATAATATCCGTCGTTAGCACGACACCGCCCGTAGGTCTTATCATCCTTTACGAGACTTGTCACCGCTCTCCGAGGCCTCACCGGGCTCTCGGGCCGGAGTCCAACATCCCGCCCCTGAACTCATACCCATCATCCCGTAGGAAGGTAAGGTCCATTCGGGGTCCTATCTTATGTGTTACCGCTGTCGGGAGCCTCGTAAGGTCTCCGGTTCGGATTCCACCCTAACCCGTGATCACGATGTAAGTCCATGCTATCCAACCCGCTCTCTAGAGTCGGGAAGGGCCATGGTCCTTACTAATTTTCAATACTCTATCGGCTAATCCTTGAAGACTACCAAATACACCCGTAGGCCAATCCTATTCCTAGGATCAATTTATTATTCACTTTATCTTGGGTATCCCTTAAGGCCTACCCCTAGCATCACTTATCCACCTTAGTATCTCTTAAGACTACTTAAGGCTCTACAATTCACAATCCAACCCTTGGATCAATTCTAACATATTGCATTCCAAAGCCCCGGCTAGTATCATAATACTAGTCGGATTAATTCCAACAAAAACCCATTTTTCAGTTCATAGTCATATAGACAATTTCCAAACTAATTTTTCCATTGAAAATATAGTTCATGTCAATATACAAAATATAACCTTTAATCACTCATATATCCTTATATGAAGTTAAAATTATATTTCAACATAATATTTATAATTAATCCCTTCATCAAGCCAATATGCTCACATTACATAATCATACACAATTTATCCTTAAATTTGTATGTTATGCTCCTTTATTCATTAACAACAACATTTTCATTTAGGCATTATTAATCATTAATAATCCATGAAAATAACATTTAATTACTTTAGGTAATCTTACGAAATTAACCCAAAGATTATAAGCAACATAGTCAGCCATCCTCACCTTGTGATGTGCTACAATAGTTGCCTTTGCTAAGCCCCTCGATCAATCCCCGTTCTAGGCCGATTGAAGGCAAAAATCCTGGACAGTAGCCCAAAGCCGGGCGGCTTTCACCAAAAGCCGGGCGGCTTTCGTAGTCTGCAACTACGAACAGCTTCTTCTCCTTGGCGGTTTCCGGTGGTTTCAACTCCTATCGATTCCACGACTCTCCTAAGTTAAATACCACCCCTATATAACATTATTCCACACTTTTAAACGTGTAGAACTCCATGTTTGATCCACCACATGATTTCTTAGAAATCATGCAACAAAACTAGTAAAAAGAGTAGAAGTGGTGTTCTTACCTCTTCTTCTTGCTCTTTCTTGTTGGGGTTTCCTTCTTGATGCTCCCTCTACCTTAGCCTTGTTGAGATAACCCCCTGGAGCTCTTCCCTCTTGTGTGGTTCGAATGAGTGCAAGAAGTGGGTGGGAGAGCCTCCTCAATCAACTCTCAATAGTGGATGGAGAGTTTGGAACATGGGAGTGTCTCTAGGAGACTTCCCTCTCAATCATCCGCACACAACCAAATTGTGTGGTCCCCCTCCCTTATTTTGAGTCTAATCAGTGTGTAGGATACCCCAAGTGGGTGTAGAAAGTTCCTCCCAATTATTCCTGCTATTTTTGGCAGGTTGGGCCAAAATAGCACTCGGGTTGTCCAAATATTTTTATCAACTTCGGTTGGCGTTTTATTGGACTCCTATAATTTTATTATGATGCCCCAACTAAATATTTGGTAGCCCATTCTCATATAATGGACCCGATATATAATTTAATTAATCATGCATTAATTAAATATGCCAATCAATTATATGAATTTTATTTGCTAGGAAATTCAAATTCATATCCTCTTTAAATTTCAAGTACAATCGGGTGCGGTGTCACAAGTTCACCCCCCCTTAACGGGAATTTCGTCCCCGAAATTCACAAATGCTTATTCAAACAGAAATGCATATTGCTCCTTCATCAAGGCT